TAGGAGGTTAGCAACTGATGACACTGGACAACCTTCAACAATCAGTAAAATCCATACCGCATAGCTATTTTTATTGAAAATCATATGTTCTTGCTACATGTATGCAAACAATTTTTTATTATCCATAACTTCGGATTTTATTGGTTCTTTTTCAGAAGGATTGAAATTCATCACTTAGAATAAAAGGAGAAAACACAGAAACAAGACCAGAATAAATTCAAAGACAAATGTCAGACCAGTTATTATTTTCATCACTCAGTCAATGAATCGAAGTTCTATTAAATATCTAAAGATATTAAAACCACAATAATGACAATGTTCTGTGCTGAATGGCCAAAAAGTGGACTATACATTAAGATCACACAATGCTGGATGATAAGAAACTATTAATTTTTTGGATGGAGGGATATCCTGAAAAAAAATTAATTTATGTAAAAAGCTACTAGTATGTTAAGCCTAATAATAGAGTTTTCATTGATTCCAAATGGGAAAAAATTGTGTTTCAAAAAAGTATTCTAGAATTCATAAATAAACATATATTGATACTTACATTATCTGCTTTGTTGTTTAAAAGTTTAGTTTTGAACAATTATAGAACAATATGATTGCATTAACATTTCCAAGGAAAAAAAGATATTCGACTAAAAAGATTCATCTTAAAACAATTTACTACCAAACAGAATTTATTGCAACATACACACTACTGTATATTTATAATTTGAATCCCATAGGATTAATTGGATTTTATTTTGTCCCATGGGATATTAAAAATCCCATGGGATAATTATAGTCCCATGGGATTTTTTTTGTCCCATGGGACAACAAATATCCCATGGGACTACAATTATCCCATGGGACCCAAAAAAATCCTATGGGATTTAACCAAAATCTCATGGGATAATGGTCAATCCCATGGGATTTGCCTTATCCCATGGGATATTGAAAATCCCATGTTTTTCTAAATCAAATAAAAAAATATATATAATAATGACAGCAGAAAAGCAATGAATTTATTGAATCCCATGTAATTCCGCACATTATGGTTATATACACGACACTGTAGCTCTAAGGAGAGGCGGCGGCGGATTTGCAAATGAGTGTTTTGCAAATTAAAAGTGTCCAGTGTTAGTACATTAAGCAGGTTATCGTAAGGTGGTACCAAACACCTTGACTTAAATGAATTTGGCTCGTTTAATTTTAATAAAGGTTTGACAAAATATTTACTTTGACCCTTTGACAAAAATTTAAAAATTTCTCAAACTTCAACCACTCACTTTATCGGAAAAAATTCCTTGGATGAATAGCAGTTTGACAAACATTAATTTTGATAATTGGGATTCTTAATATTTCCTTAACAATAGAACGTGATTAAAGCGTTCATCTGATTTTTACAGAGTTGTCTCTCTCATTAGTGTTATTTGCAACCTTGACTGAAAATGTATACACAACTTTCATTTTGTTCTCAAATGACATAATCTGCAACAAACATTTCATGACTTTCCTTTATATTATCAAACTCATGAATCAATCACTGTCTTAATCCTGTTATTTACGATATTATATCCTCACATGTAATTTCCAACCCTGTTCAATCAATTGATAGTGTTGACACATCTAACCTGTTTTTCAATTGAATACTATCTTTTTTTAAATGAAAATTCGCAATTTGTAATTTTTAAAGTTAAACCTGTTAAAATCATAATAACTGAAATCTCAGTTTTTACTTTTTTGTGGCTTCTGGAGGTAAGATGGACGCAGAAGAAGGTAAGCGGAGAATCGCTTCTTGCAAAGACTGCAGAAGATGGCACTTTGATTCTGTCTCAATCAGTATAAACAGTTAGAACGTCAGGACAAGAACATGTTAAATGTAATATGAATATAAATGTAAAATGATTACATGTGGAATAAATGGCAATTAGACAACATTCCACTGAAGTGCTAATGAAGTGGATGTACGCAATTTTAGGAAATCGTATGACCTTCAACAATGAGGAAAAAAAACACATACTGTTGCATATATCGACATGAAAAATATGAAACATTTCAATTCGAAAACTAACAGCCTGATTTATATAAAAAAGATAATTAATTTACGAAAAACAAATATGACACACGAACCAACGACAACCGTTTTCATTGCATATTTATGATTAAGTTTATATTAAATGAAAACACCCAAATTGATATTTCCAAAATTGCGAAAGGAATAAAATACACAGATATAAACTTTGCAAGGAACATTTTCGTTTGTTTTAATATTTGATTTTGGTTGTTATGTACATTGCATTTTTTCCCCCTTTATATAATGAAAAAACCACGGTTACATTGTAATCTTTCGTTTTGATTCCAATGCATATTGTCTTACAGGACCAATCTATCAAATTAGCGGATATTTTTAATAAGAAGTAGTTGAAATATTTCTTCAATTGCTTGTTAATGTAGTCTACTCTGCTTACATATAGTGGATTTACATTCTGAAATCATGCAACATGCCTTAGTGTTCAAACAGAAATGGCAAAACAGAGTTTAAAGTTGGAAGAACATACAAGATACTAAGAAATAAACTACTGTGACTAAATACATACTGTGACGTAACGTTGGGGCAGAAGTGCGACCATATGCCAACTACTGATCTCTAAAAGAGATGTTGCAAAAGAGAGGCGAAAGATACAAAAGGGACATGCGCATTCACAAGTCGACTTCAACGCCATGGTAAAGAACGGAAGAAGAAAAAAAAAGGAACCTTTAACAAAATCTAACATAGAAACCTAGACTGATCAACGTGTAGAAAACATAACACTCTCATAAGACGAGACATTAGATTAACAGTGCCGGACGCTGCTTAGTTAAATATCATACACAGCCTTTGGTAAGAGTGTTATCGTCGGTTGGAAGAGGCCCAGTGACACAAAATTATTATACCCCGGTTAACCTTACGGCCAGGGATTGGGTAATCGTAATCGATATTTTATAAGTTGTACTCCATTGGAAGTTTTATATTCTATAGTTAGGGAGGTTATCTAATCAAACGGATAATTAAACGCTTGTTATAAATTATAAATGTCCATATTTAAAATTATCTGAACTCATTATTCTATTTTTTTCTTCAGAGAAAACCTCCAACATTTTAATGAGCTATATTCAAATATTCCTGTTAAAATCATATGAAACGAGTTTCTCGAAATTTTAATGTTGTCGAAATTTTTGAACCAATGCATGCATATATACTAAACTAAGTCTTGCATGCACTTTTTTCATATTAAGTACACATCTATAACGTATCGTCGACAAATAATATTTCATTCAGTGGTTGTTGATTGCAGGCTTATTAACTTTCAATTTTGTTGCCGAGGTTTACCGGACCGTGACATTGACAAACAATAAAACAGAGCACGTGGACATCGTGACAGATAAATGAATTGAAAGAGCCATGACATTTGTTTTCATAATTTCCATGAGTACCTATTTGTTAAGGTTCATCATAACAAATGGACAAATATGACTGTATTTACACCTTAAACACTACTCTGTGTACAGACTTACCTGTGCAGTTTTGAAAGTTTAAAGGCCTTACATCCACTAGATATATAAAATTTAGATGCATATTGTGTTTTAGAAAGATGAAATCATTTTTGGATTTTGATGGGCATTTTTTTCGTTCCTGCAGAAGGTGTAAAATAAACAAACACCTGAATTGCATTTGATACTGTCCACTCAGTTACACCCTTTAACTCACCTATAGTTGTGTAGATATCTATTGTATGTCTATTGTTCATGCCAATCAAGGACAATCAATATAATACAAAACCGTTGTTACCTGAGAGGGAGCATCTCAAAGTTGTATCCCAACTTAGTTCATTTGTACACCTTCTGCAGGAACTAAAAAAAAATGCCCATTGAAATCCAAAAAAGATTTTTTCTTTCTGAAATCCTTTAAATATCTGTTATTTTTATTTACCCCCAGGAGCACGTGTGCTTACATTCTTCATCATACTTTTCCCCTCGCACTTGTGTTGTGCGGTGGCAGAAGGGATAACGAGAGGTGTCGTGGCTAAGGTCATTGCATACGGGAAAATATCGGCGAATTAGTGTCTGGGAAGTCAATAATTCAATATCGGTACATTTATGTATATTCTTATCATATAAAGGATTTTACTTTTAAAACAAGCACATGTTCTCTTCTTTCAGAGTAGTGACGATGATGAAGACAACAGTTTAGTTGAGGTTGTGGTTCTTCGTTAATTTATGTAATATTGTCATTTATAAGCGCCTGTCCGAAAACAGTAACCTCTGACCTTTGTTAGTCTGGTGTGTGCGTATTGTTTTTTTTTTTTTTTTTGTTGGGGTCATGTATATGTTTTGGAGTTGAGTGTGACGTCCATTTTCGCTGAACTAGTATACATTTTTTAGAGGCCCAGTTGAAGCCCGCCAATGGATGCGGGATTTTCTAGCTCTGTTGAAGACCCATTGGTGGCCTTTGGTTGTTTTCTGCTCTTTGGTAAGGTTGTTGTATCTTTGACACATTCCCGTTTGCATTTTCAATTTTAATTGTAGTAATAATCAATTCGATACATCATTGTTTATTTCAGAAAATATACCAAGAAACGAAGAAGCATTCGATCAAGTTCAAACACCTGTCAAATACAACCTTCCTGTTTCTGTATCTTTGCGTCAACAGTTAAATATCAAACCATCAACGCATGGATATTTCAATATTCATTTATAACGCTTAAAGAGTATTATGTTAATGTGGTATTATATTTAGGCAACAGTAAATGGATGTAAATGATACAACACCAGGCAATGAACAAACATTGAGGTAATCGGATAAGTGTTTAGCGACTTGATTAAAGTGAAGTATAAAGATGTGTATCAATGCAATTTTAACATTTAATGTTTTTATTTTATGTTGAAACTTGGAGATGGACGATACAAAAGGAATAGCTCAACTCATAAGTCGAAAATAAACTGACAACGCTATGTCAAAAACATGAAATATGACATAAAGACAAACAACAATACACAAAACGCACATGCTTAGCCAACCAAATACACGTTTATGGTTTATATTGTCAGAATAAAGTCTTATTCTAAAAGAATTAAATAGTATAGACCTTATATTTGTCCTGTAAAATCTTGATTTTAATTTCAATTTAATAAATACAACACATGAACGTCGAACATCATGGAATATTTATTACTTTTTCAGATAATTAGCAGACCTAACAATCCGGAAGGTAGTTTATCAGAGTTAAAAAATATGACGAAAATGGTTTGTAATCCAACTGATTCTGCAGCTATTTTATCTACATCAATTGCAAATCTCGCGTGTTGAATGAAGAGTTTTATAATAAGCATAATACGATGAAAAATTGTTTCAATATTTCGCATAAAACGAATATTATCAAAACTTCAGGGACAGAGCTGCAACTCTCCGTTTGCCATCTGATGCATCGATCTTTACTGCTGAAGCAGAAGCAATAATTTTGGCTTTGAAATTTATTGCTTCTTCAGATAAATCCAAATTTATTATATGTTCTGATTCACTTTCATGCTTACAAGCTATACAAAATACTAAAATTAAAAACCCAACAATTCTCAAAATTTTATATGTAATGAGGAATTTAAAAATTCTTCTTAAAGAAATATTATTTCTATGGGTGCCGAGTCATGTTGGAATCCTTGGAAACACAGCTGTAGACCTTGAGGCAAAGAATGCCCTGGGTGACCCTTTATCTAACTGTGATATACCATATACCGATTTTAAATCTAATATTAGAGAATATGTTTTTAATATATTGAAAAATGAATGGAGTAAAAAAGATGGTAATAAATTACATGAAATTAAACCTAATTTATGTAAACCTTTCAATAATTTTATGTGCAGAAAAGATCAGTGTGTTATTTCTAGATGTCGTATTGGTCATACTAGAATAACACACGAATATCTTTTAAAAAATGAAGTAGAACCACAATGTATACCTTGTAACTGCAAGTATACTATTAAACATGTTTTAATCAATTGTATTGACTTTGCTGATATTCGGAAGAAGCATTTCAATGTCAATAATATGTATGATTTATTTAATAATATTCCATTTACAAATATTGTTTCATTCTTAAAAGAAATTGGAATATATTATAAAATATAAAAATGTTGTTATATTTAAAACGATTTTAATTTTTATCACGTTATCTTAGTGTTGATTTTTATTTGTAAATAATCAATTTGCTTTAGTCTAGAATTTTAGTTTATTGAAAGACCTTTTGTCTGATTTTAAAAATATACCTTAAATTGTTATAATATTCGAATTAGCTCTCGCCGCGATATAGCCTTTCTGTGCTAATGCGGCGTAAAGCAAACAACAATCAATCAATCAAAACGTTAGCTCGTAGGATAATTGTTTCTCTTTTGTCCCTTTTATTGTATAATCCATAGAGAAATAATAAAAGACTAACAAGAAGAAATCAGTGCTTTAGAATTAAGTAAAAACTATTTTCACTTCTAACTTAGGCAAAGTTTACCTGTTCATTAACTTTGCTGTTCTTTTGTCCCATTCGGTCGTAAAACTTCTAATATTTCTAGATTTTTACGCATCCCTAGTTTTTGAGTTTGAACGTTCTTGATGAAGGTTTAATTCAGAAGATTCCTACAGATGCATGAAATATATAAAGTATCATTATCTTTTACAAGCACATGGTTGATACCAGTGCTACTGTATACGAGGGTAAAGTCAACTTAGATGTCAAATCCTGTCATTGTGTTATTGTGCTATCATGGTAAATTTTTGTATTCTTGTCTTTCGTTTTTGCAAATATGCTTTGTTTATATGCCTTTTTGTTTTTCTTTGTTGACATATTTGTTTTTTGTTATAGTGATTAAGATTGTAACACGATGTTGACTGCTGTACCCCTATTTTTGACATTTTCGCCTATTATGTCTGTTTGTTTTGTTCACAAATCATTGTCAATATGATGGAATTTTATGCGACTGTCATACAAGTGAGAGGTTTAGCTAGCTATAAAACCAGGTTTAATCAACCATGTACCAAGTCAGGAATATGACAGTTGTTATCCATTCGTTTGATCTTTTGATTTTGCCATTTGCTTAGGGACTTACCGTTTAGAATTTTCCTCGTAGTTCGGTATTTTTGTTATTTTACTTTTCACTAAATCTTCACGAGGCATCAGATTTTATAAATACGGCATAGTCGAAATTAAGCAAGGATTTCAATGCCAGAATCTTGAGACATTTGGCTTTTAATTGATATATGGTAGACAATTTTATACGTCTGTACAGTTGGATTCGATAAAAACAAATTCTAAACGTATACTATTACTGTTTTGCAATCGGCAAAAATGTATAAATTTACATAGAATAAAATGTCGGTTTTACAAACAATTTCTCAATGTCCTTCTCATATTATTTTCTATCAATGTATAATAAAGTAAATATAAAAGGATTAATAAGTTTCCAGACTTTATTGATCTGGACAATTATGACAATTTGTATGCATGTTTGGAATAATGTTGAATAAGATTTCATATCTTTAACTCATAACAATTAATAAATTTCATCTATGGTTTCTCTTGATCGGAAAAAAATTCGAACATCATCTTTTGCATTAAGAAAACATATACTTTGTCAAAAAAGGTGTTAAAAGCTGTAACATCGGTGTAAAACAAGACAAAGTGTATATGATTTTAACATAATTTTCTTATAATAAAAACATGACGCTAAGACTCAATTTCAAACATAATTAAAATAATTGATCAATTTTAAGATATTTAGTATCAGTTATGTCTACTTCTTAAAATTTAAACATTTTTTTTCTTCCGCACAAATAAGATAAAATAATAAGTGAAAGTTGCAATTTGCGACAACGGATAGTCTATAAAAATCAGTTAATATGATTTCTCAAATGATCTTTTCAAGGAATTCGTCTGCAGAGAAAGCGTTAAGCCGAAATACATAACCCAATACTAAAGAGATAACAGGCGCTCGGAGAAGTTTGCCAAACACAGCTAAGGTTATCTATTCCTAGGGAAGAAAATCTTTAGTATTTCGAACAATTCAAAGTGTTGTAAACAGTTGATATATAATAATGACCATACAAATATAACTATATATCAACACAGAAGTGTTGACTACTGGGTTGGTTATACCTTTGGGGGAAAACCCACCACCATCAGTGGCATTAGCCGAGTGGTTGTAGACAAACTCATTAAAGAAACCAAGAAGTTTTTTCAAATCGGAAAAAAAATGTTGTTTTGCCATTCTGTTTTGTTTGCATAAGTGCTGACACTGTAATGCTATTATGAATAAAATTAAAAAAACCCAATGTTAAAGATTGTCTCTGGATAAAACGTATTTAAAATGCACATTAAGATCATTCGTTTCATATTTTCCTTGATCAGACCTGCGGTCGTGATATTTAGTGGTTTTATAAAAATTACGATTTCCTTTGAAATGAATGCAAAATTCTGTTGTTTTATGGGACCTCATTGGGATTAAAAGCAAAAATTTTATTCAAAGTCCGATTCTGATGCCGTGCTCTTTTTTCAACATATACGAAAATCCCTAATATGGTTTAACAATCAGATTCGTGGTAGTTTATATGGCCTCACTGGAAAGAATTCTGTTAAAAATCAGAATAAACTTATATATTGCAAAGCTTTTTTGCCATTTACTTTCCTTAATAATATATTTCAGTAGAACAGTATCATGTAATGTAATTAATTTACAATATTTTGTCAGCATGTTAGGTTGTATCATCTTTCAATGCAGATTTTTTTTATATCCAGTTTTTAATGCAATTTGTCGTGCATCTTTTTATACCTATATATATATATCTATTTATTAATTTATTTGTTTCATTTTATAACATTTATTAGTTTTTTATTTTATTAAGTAAAAAGTGTATCATAGAAGTAGAGAGAGAAACTATAATTTGATGAACATATCCGTCTAACCAAGAAACAATTTAATTGTGTCTTCTATCGGATTAGTCTTTGAACTAGAAATCGTTATTTACATTTTGATACAAAAAGATTACATGCAAGTCGAACATTTTTGATAAATTACTTGTTATCTTTTTCCAGATAATTGACAGACTGGAAAAAATAGAGGATAGTATCAAAGAATTCAAAGATATGACGAAAACGGTTCGTAGTTTAATGATATAACAATCTGTACTTTTTGACATTAAAGAAAATTGCATGCTATACAATAAGATTTTTGTGAGGAGACAGTTCTTTCAACTGTTTTAGCAATGAGTTAGCAGTCATTAATACGTTACCGATCAGTCAAGTATATGCCACTACTCTGTAGAGTTTATAATGATAATCATTGATTGATCGAAAGGATCGCTTTATCTTGACGAATTGAATTCTATAAAGTTATGTCGGGTATTGTTTCAAACGGAATCGTAGTTTCGTTTCATTCATTTCAGATGGCTGACCGCAGAAGTTCTTGAACAGAATGGCAAAATATGTTCGTGATATGTTAAACACAATTAAATAATAAAATATTTAATCTTGTAAAATGACTCCAATTTTCCTATTTATTTTAATTTAACTCAATTTCGATTGTTAAAATCCCTGACTATAAGAGAAAAATTTTATCGATTGAATTATCGATTCAACTTTCTAGCATCAATTAATAAAAATGGAAGATACATGTACGTTTTGCCATACATAAAAATAACAATTCGTATTGATTGATTGTATGTTGCTTAAAATCAAGTGGCAAACTTTTCATGCATGTTCGGAACGAAAACAAATTAATATATATACAATAGGTAGGTCCTGTAAGAAAGGTGAAATGATGGGCGTACAATTTAGACTGCCACTGGAGCACGAGGGTAAACTAGATAGCAACAAACATTTAGACTTGCAACAGGCCAGCTACGGACCCCTCAAATAGTTGTTGCAAGGATTTATAACGTGAACCCTCTATACACAAGGCGTCGGATTTTACGTCTCCATTCTGACCAGAGGTGGCTGAAAATATATGAATCCCGCACAACCAAACGGACGCTTAACTTGGTCTAGGGTTCAACTGCCAGTCGGAAGAAGACCAAGAGTGACCATATTTCTTTTCTTTTCCCCAATCACTCTTTTGATTTAATAATTTGGAAGAAAATAAATCAAACATATATTTACAATGGTATTTCAACAAGTAACTGCACATAACAAGTAGTCTTTCATATTTTATGCGAAAATAACCCATTATCAGGTACTAACAGTAGTTAGGTCCAGTACATGATTTTAAATGACGCTCTTGCTTTCTATTAAACGAGGATTTAATGCACTCTTAGTCAACACAAATAAAAGTTCAGAAATATATACTCTTATATTATCCATATTATACAAGTATGACAAACAAGTCATCCAGAGGTACTGAAAAAAATTGATACGCCAGACTTGTGTTTCTTCTTCATAAATTCACCAAGAGGGTTCATATCAAAGCAGTGGAATGGCAAAATCAAATGCGAACTTGTAGGGCATTGACAACTAAAACTGAGGGAAACAGTAGTAAACGAAAATGAGACACTAAAACCTTAAGTCTTGTTTAAGTTTTAATATAACACTAAAAAGATGTGGTATGTTGTTAAAGTTTTAATAGAACACTAAAAAGATGTGGTATGATTGCCAATGATACAACTGTCTACCAGAGACCACATGACGTAGAATTAAACAACTGTTTGTCACTGTACGGCCTTAAACAATGAGCATAACCTATACTACATACATGTAGTAAGGTATAAAAGACCCCGAATGTTTTTGTAAAATCATTACTGTTCATACAATTTCCTTGCAGTCATTTCACTAATGTTCAGTAGCTATTCAGACAATTTAGTTTGTTGTTTTTTTTTTGTGTAGAGGTAAACAACTATTGCTGAACAGTCTGGACATCGACTAAACAGATCTTATTTGACTTTAAGAGAATAGTCTAAACAGTAGTGAATTTACCGCAATGGATAAGTCTGAAAAAATTGACTGAAACACTAAATGACTTAATAGTTCCTTGTTCAGTATTTTTAGAGCTGTTCTAAACAAAATGACCGTTTCAGTTCAAAATACGTTTACGGGTGTAAAGTAATCCATCGACATGATAAGCATCTTCTGTTGTACATCACCCGCAATCGATCCTTACTCTGTCAGGATGTTATACCCGAGAATATTACACAAGCGGTTATTTACAGATCAGACGACTATACCCTATCTTAAAATCTCTAAGACCGCGAAAAATGTCGCAAGTGAGTTCAAACACAGACCCATAGTATCAGTCAACCAATTTGTAATGGCGACCGTAATCTTACGAAGTGTCGATTTCAGTCGTTCCTCCTGAAGCAGTTGATGTGAAGATAACAACCTCCTGTATATCTAGTCCGTTCGTATAGTGTAAACATGCACGAGCGTAACATTATGATTAAAGTATGTAAACACAATACGATTTGGGGGTGGGGGGACGTATAAAACTGCTAAGAAAAAGGAGAGGTAGACAATTCGAAAGTTGAAATTATCGCGTAGTCATAGATTTAAGGTTGAAGTCGTCCATTTGGTCAATACCGAGAAAGTTATGAACATAGGCAGGAGATGTTATAATTTGTGTAGTATCTTTAATATCATGTTTAATGGGATATATGATCTCATGAGATGTCAGCAGTAACTGAAACCTGGGTTACTGAGGGACAGGACATCATCAATATATCTGAAATGGACATCAAAGAACTATTGTTTGTCTTTAAGAAGGTTCTGAACAAATTCTGCTTCATATGATTAGAAAAAGAAGTCGGAAAGTAAGGATGTACATTGGTAACAATAGGAAAACCGAATATCTGTTGTAATATCAATCAACTAAACTCAACAAATAAATGATTTATTAGAAAGTCTAGCATTTTTTTCAATATCATTTTCGATGTATTTGCTGTTCCAATCAGTTTGGTTGTCACAAAGTCAGATTTGTCATGATATAAAAACAAAGATTTTTTATCTGCTGTTCCATTTTTTGTAGAAGAAAGCTTTATAGATTGAGACGGAGTAGTCGATCGTTCCGATGTGCAAGGGTTATAGTTGTGTAATGTGTAGAATAATGATTTTTTAAGAAACCGCTGGTTGAATATGTATCATCACACTATTTCTGAAGGACATGTTTTACAAAAGAAAGAATGATTGTAAGAACTCTGGAAATGTGTTAAGTCGAACATCTTTAAGAAACAGTTAAATAATGCTTTTATTAGGAGTTTTGGCAAGTCAAGGTATCATGTAAAATGACGGGAGATTTGTATCGTCTTTTTATGTTAATACTAAAAGAATGAGAATTGCTGTGAATAACAAGATCTTTTGTAAGACATTCAAAATAATGCAACATTAATTTTTTTTAGGTTTTGTTGTAAAGAATCAACAGCCCTTATTATCTTGGAGGGTTTTGAAATATGCTTTAATCTTAATACCAAAGGAAAGACGGCAAATAAGGGTGTCCCTAGTGAGGCAAATCTGTAGACCATTCCTGGGCACCCGACATCACCAAAGACTTTTGATGGGTATCGTGTTACTTTTGTCAGTTTACGGTTTTTCTTTTTGACCGTTGCAGTATATGTGTTAATTTTACGTTTGGTTTGTTTTTATCCCGTTGGATTCAAATTTAAAAAAAAGTTGAATTTGTGTTATGTTAACTTGAATGGCTAAGTTTTGTTATTAAACACGTGTACATGTTAACGTAAATCCTTTACCATATCAAAATCTTCAGAAATATACTGCTATGGAATTATTGTTTTCCCACTTTCTAATTCGCCGATAGCTGTTCTTTTGAGATGTTATTTCAAGCAACTGGTTTCGTTAAACTTTAAGTATAACGTAAAATAATCCACCTTGAGCTATCACGAGTACTGATTTCATTTTTCGAAAATATGATATTCATTTAATATTGGACTCATCAAACAACATTTTTAGTTTGTATTTCTTACTTGGTGCTTAACGCTACTTTCATCGACCTTGGTTATGTCATGGAGGTCAATTGTTTTGGATGTAGGAAGCTGGAACAACCTGAAACAACCACTGATCGTCTGTAGGGAAACTCGAATTCTAAGAGTTTTATTAATTGTATATGTGTACAGCTCACATTTAATGTAAAACAATATTTGTTCAGGTACCAATATTTCTATTTTCCATCGTTACATAACTATTTATGAATAGATTGATTGATTGTTGTTAGCTTTACGTCCAGTGCCAAACTGTTGATGAATGTTCATGACTAGAACAAACAAAACAATAGGTAGGTCCGGTAATAGGGGTTGACTTGGATGAATTGAGGTAAATTTGAAAATTGATGTGCTTTAAATATTGACAAGACTTATGCCTTGTCACATGCTTCAATCGGACCTCTCAGACAGGAAAAGGTTCTGTAACCTATATTTCATGACACTCTCTTCATGATAAATCAGATTTAACGGTCCCATTCTCACCGAACGTGGTAGTGAATTAATACACCCCGCAGAGACAACAAACTACCCATGTTGGCAATGATTTGACTGTGCCTGTGAGACTTAAGAAGACCAAAGGTTTCCAACTATCTATAACCCAGTCAACCCTTAGAGTAGTTTGTAAATAAAATAAGAAATATTTACATATTTAAATAAATTTTGGCTAAAATTTCAGTTATCCTCACAGGATAATTAAAATAATTCTGAGGTATAAATATTGACTATCTGAAAGTTAAATATTATTGTCCGAGTTATGATATTTTCAGATTATTATGCATTCAAGTTTTGTTGCACTTTCAGTTATATATAGCCAACATTAAGCAGAAGTCAGTTGAAATGTCAGAAGAAGGGGGAATATATAATTAAATGGCTTCGCCAAGTAAGGAAAGGTTAATGAAACGATGTTACCAAAGCTGTTATAAAAGAGTGCGATAATTTATCACGTTTACAAATGTCTCAACTACAATAACATTAACGATACCAATTTTACTGCACTAGATGCATTTTTCGACAATAAATGTTTCATCAGTAATGCTGCATGCCAAAACATATGAAATTCAAAATACAAGTGACACTTTGTTGTTAAGAACAGCGCAATATGTTAGTAAAACAATATAATTGCTAGATTATTTTTTTTTTCTGTAGAAACATTGTACACACACTGCAATGGTCCAATTTGGCGAATCAAAAACTAGGCATAGCTTCAACCACGAAAAAAAAACTGGGTTCTTTGGGCTCGTCTGTGAACTTTGATCTTAAAGTTATTATGCAGTTTCCATGTACTGATAATGGTTGCTGGATATCTATTTCATACACTTAATATTAGAAAGTTACATGTTATTGAAGTTATTCATATTTATGGTAGTGACCTCATAAAAGTAGCATATACAGGTAGTTTTTGTATTCTCATGTATTTAGCAACTTTTTTTTTCGAAAAAGGCAAAAAGTCTTACATTGATATCTCAAACATTTTTTTCTGTTTACTTTTAGTATTCATCAATTACAGCAATTATAGTGTTTAAACGTAAATGTCGTATTGATTGAGTCTGAAATCGTCTACCAAACTTAGCATTTTCGAAATAATAAGGCTTTTCTACCTCAGGAATAGATTACCCTAGCTGTATTTGGAAAAACTTTTAGGAATTTTGGGTCCTCAGTGCTCTTCAACTTCGTACTTTATTGCCTTTTTAACTGTTCTTTATTAGAGCGTCACTGATGAGTCTTTTGTAGACGAAACGCACGTTTGACGTACAAAATTTCAATCCTGGTATCTATGATAAGTTTATTTTACATTTAAGTTTACTTGAGTAAACAAGATGCCCTACAAATTTTAATTATCGATACACGGTTTTAACTAGTAAGAATACATTCAAAATCTGGCAAAAAATAATTTATTGCGAAATACCAAGTTGTAAAACGCAAAGATTCCGATAAATATTCACAAAGTTTTGGATCATGTAATTATCTTGAAAATTGAAATACATTGGCATGTTTGTAAGAATTTTATTTTAACTTAAATTTTTTACCACTCCTTTTGCCACATATGAGATGTTCTTATTTCAACGATATTAATTAAAAAGGAAATTTGTTACTTAAAGTTTAAGGGTCCGTTATTGTGGTTTAATCTTAAATACAATTGTCTAGTAGTATACAGTATGTCAAACTTGTAATCACCTCGGGTCTTGAAAATTTGTGAATAAATTTGACTGAGTCTATCATATATATGTCAACATCACCAACTTCACCAACGCACATAAGGCATTCACATGAATAAACATAGTATTATTGATGAGGGTCCGGAGTTGGTAATCGCCATTAAAGTCGTCGAAACGCATGTTTATTAAATAAGAAACTAACTGTTTGATAAGATTATGTGTATTTTTTTGATATCATAAATACCGGTTTTAACATAAACACAATTTGAATATTATCATTTATAAGGAAACAGATATATTTGCACAACAATAACTGGATTGAGATTTCAATTGATTAATCAACTATTTAAGAGAATAACTATGGTAAACATGTATAGAAGAAGTTTTATTTTGCAGAAGATCAAAAGGTAAAATGAAGAAATGAACTGGCAATGCATTGACAAGCTGTGATATATAAAGGACATATATCAATCTATTGTGAAACATGATTATTTAATATTCTTCAAAGACAATTTGATTTAAATTACTTGGTATGTTAATCGCTTAATCAGAGGCCCATAATGGACCATTTTGTAACGTGATTTCATAAATGACATAGATTGAAGTATATTATGTAATTATGTTGATTGTATATGAAGTTAGATAGTTGTAATATAAACTTTTTTTATTATGTTGCTTTTTTAGAAAATTAGTACTTCTTTCCTCATATATGTTGGGTTGATTGTGTTGTTTTCTCTTGAATTTTTTATGTATCTGAATAATTATAAGTTAGATGGGTAGATCGGTGAACCACTGTTTTTCCTTCACTTTACTGTTGTAGTAAACTAGTATTTTTGCAAAAGAAATATGGTTACCCTTATTGAAAAAAAAAGTAAAATCACAAAAATACTGAACTCCGAGGAAAATTCAATCGGAAAGTCCCTAATCATATGGCAAAATCAAATGACAAAACACATCAAACGAATGGACAACAACTGTCATATTCCTGACTTGGTACAGGCATTTTCAAATGTAGAAAATGGTGGATTGAACTTGGTTTTATAGCGCTAAACCTCTCACTTGTACGACAGTCTTATCAAATTCCGTTATATTTACAACGATGCGTGAACAAAACAGACATTATAAATAAAATAGTCTAAATATGGTCAAAGCAGTCATCACTGTGTTACAATATCAAAACAAACAATTATTTACAAAAAAGAACAAAAGCATCTATCAAATTAAAAACCACATTCATTGTTTCCCTTTGCGTTATTAGAGCCTAAACTGCAGTCATGTACTATTTACGGGTAATGAAAATCGACCCAAACTATAAAAACAGCAACAAAAATACAGAATTACTCGTTTATATACATAACACCTGGAAAAAATTAAACCTGTAGCAATGGTGAAAGAATTATTTAAAACAATAAGTCAAGCATTGAAAATATGGAGCCATTGTCCCAATGGAAATGACACCTGTATTACTGAAAGAAAAGATAAAAAGTATTTAGCCAAAAGTACTAAATTTTGCCTATATAATCGATTTACCTCATTATTAATGCAGCTTTGAATTTGTGAAAAATACTATTATGACGTTGATGAATTGAACCAGACTATTTATAATACTTAACAAAAGATATATAAAACCAGGTTCAATCCACCATTTTCTACATTTTAAAATGCCCGTACCAAGTCAGGAATATGACAGTTGTTGTCCATTCGTTTGATGTGTTTTGTCATTTGATTTTGCCATGTGATTAGGGACTTTCCGATTGAATTTTCCTCGGAGTTCAGTATTTTTGTGATTTTACTTTTTTTTTCAATAAGGGTTACCATATTTCTTTTGCAAAAATACTAGTTTACTACAACAGTAAAGTGAAGGAAAAACAGTGGTCCACCGATCTACCCATCTAACTTATAATTACAGAGAGTCATATAGAAGATATTCATAAAAATAGATTATTAGAAAACATTCATTTCAGGATCAATTATATAAAGAAAGAAAAATGAACTTAGAGTAGCTTTTTTCTAAGTTTGAAATGCTTAGGAGAAACTCGGAAAGGGACAAAGTGTCAAAATTTCGCTTGTCAGAAATGACAATAATGTGGATTTGTATTTCATTAAAGCAATTATGAAAAATAATATTTAATTCGACCATATATTCAATCATAATCATCGCGTTTTTTTGGCTGTCAATACATACTAGTACCATCTGATTCACATGAAGGATATAAAAGTGTTCAATAAAAAAGGCAACATGAAAGTCTCGATTATGACTGAATCACTATACGAGATATATTTTAAATAAATAACATTGAAATTTTGGATTATTTTGTCTATTTTATTATGTATTCACTTTTATATATTCACATTATTGGTACCTAAGACACTGTTATATTTTTCATGGATTGAATCAATTTTGATAATACTTTCACTTTCAGTTAAATACGGAATTTAGTTCCATGTTGCTCTCGCTATTGAGATATTAGGAAAAAACAGCCGCATTTGAGTAAGTGCGCACAATTATTAAACGTCTCCATGAGGGTAAAAAATATCATATATGTTTGGGAAAAGAAACCTCAGGGTTAAAAGAAATTAAATGAAAACAATTAATTTAATGAAAGAATATGCATGGAACAACACTAGCTATTGATCAATCAGCATCAATGATAATTATGTAAGGTGTAGTTATAATAAAACATATGTTAATATTTAACATGTTTAACTTAGAAGTGATTTTTTAGTTTTTGTTTATTTTGCTATTATTTTGTGTTTGTTTTATCATTTTGTGACAGCATATCTTCATATATCTTCGGCACTAAATTTAACAAATCTTTTGTTAAGTATTATAAATAGTCTGGTTCAATTCATCAACGTCATAATAGTATTTTTCACAAAATCAAAGCTGCATTAATAATGAGGTAAATCGATTATATAGGCAAAATTCAGTACTTTTGGCTAAATACTTTTTATCTTTTCTTTCAGTAATACAGGTGTCATTTCCATTGGGACAATGGCTCCATATTTTCAGTGCTTGACTTATTGTTTTAAATAATTCTTTCACCATTGCTACAGATTTAATTTTTTCCAGGTGTTATGTATATAAACGAGTAATTCTGTATTTTTGTTGCTGTTTTTATAGTTTGGGTCGATTTTCATTACCCGTAAATAGTACATGACTGCAGTTTAGGCTCTAATAATGTTATATACATAATTCTTATCTACAGAGAGTCATATAGAAGATATTCATAAAAATAGATTATTAGTCAAGAGACAGCAACCACCTATAAACTGTTTGACTGCTTTTGAAGTTAAGAAACTTTGTGCAGAAAAGCCAGTTTGATTTATCAGTAGTAAAACAGACGTATGTCAATTTTAGTACTACTTATGTCCTATTAAAATGTCCGCTACATACCAGACCTTTGGACAGGGCTGCTTTCGACCAGTCCTTAGGACAGGTCTGCCTTTGAACAGTCTTTTTAATAGGTCAGCTCCTGACCAGACCTAAGGACAGGTTTGCTTTTAAGTGGTAGTGAAGCAGTAAGAAGCATATGAAAAGAAAAGTTAAGGACTTCGTCTTTGCGGTCGTAACCTAAAAAATGGTAGGGTTGTGGGAATAGATCTACTCGATTATTTAACTGTTAACATGGTAGAGAGCTACCGCAACTGCTCAAAAACTCAGACCTTGACAATTGGGTAGTCCAATTATCTGTATTGGATGTATATAGATATGCAGCAATGC